TATCTAATATGTATTTAAAACCAATTTTAAGAACTAGTCCTATACACGAATTCATAAAAAAAAAAACCCAGCACAGTGGGGACTTGGCATAGTTGTTCCAGTATAGATGATATCTGACAGTGATTAAAATCACTATCATAAATAACGCTTCGATGCACATCTGTAGATAGTGTTTAATTAAAAAAATAAAAAAATTTGTCAAAAAAGTAAGTCAAGTGAGATCTGAGAAAATAAATAATAGCTACAAAAAAAAACCACATATAGTAAAATAATATTAATATGAATTTCTTCTCACGAGAGGAGACTACAGTAATGGTATCCATGATATTTATTGAACTTATTGAATCTAAATGAGATAAAAATCAAATGAGTTAAACATTTTTTTTTAACTCAAAAAGAATTAAGAAAAAATTCAGTGCCACAGGTGTGAAAGACCAAAATGATACCGTCTCAGAAACCGTACGTCGCATTCGTCACTTAATAAAAATGGAAATTTAGCTAGTTCAAATTTTAAAGTTATTTTTCTAGATTTCAAAGAAACGAAATAATATAAACATCTTTAACTTTTTAAACTATGTCAATTAGATTGATATAATATTTATGAAAATCAGTGTAATCACATTATAATAAAATAAAATACAAAACCAAGAATTTTAACACAAAAATAACATATTTTTGAATACGGTAGCTATTTTTACCATGAAGACAAAATAAAGTCCGAAATTTTTTTTTTTTAATATTAAAGTATATTACATTAGCTTTAATTTAAGATATACATAAAAGTGTCAGACTTTCCGGAACACTTTCAAAAGTTTAGTTGAAAAAGTTCTACTTTCTATATGCATTTTTATGTTTTGAACCTCCCTGTACTAAAAAAAATGGTCCGATTAAAAAAATAAGTATGTCGAATGAAAGAAATATATAAATATTATTTCATATAAAAAAACTGTATTAATCCATACATTTTTCAAAAGATATAACATTTTAAAGTTAAAAATGTAAAATATAAAATCGAAAATTTTAACACAAAAATAGCATACGGTAGCTATTTTAACTGTGAAGACAAAATAAAGTCCAACATTTTTTTTTTTTTTAATATTAAAGTATATTACATTAGGTTTATTTTAAGATATATATAAAAGTGTCAGTATTTCTGGAACACTTTCAAAAGTTAATTTTTTGTGAAAAAGTTGTTATTTTGAATCCAGCCCACAGGGGAGGATAAAGGGTTGAATTTATAAAAAAATATACCAAATAATAGAAAAAACATCAAGCATCTACAAAAAAAAAATTAAATTGATTTGTTCATTTTTGAAAAAGTTATGGTAGTTTTAAGTAAAAAAAACCCAGCACAGGGCGGTCGCGGCACAGTGGTGACGTGGTATAGATGGATCAAGTATAAAGATATCTGACAGTGATTAAAATCACTATCAAAAAAAAAAACGCTTCGATGCAAATCTTTAGTGTTTAATTTTAAAAAATTGGTGGACTATTCCAAAAGCTACATGATCTGCTAGTTCATTATTAATATCCTAATTAAGATAGAGTATGTAGAATGAAAAAGGGATTATTAAAAAATATTATTTCTCATAAAAAAATAATGTTGATTCATACACTTTTCAATATGTCATAGCATTATAAAGTTAAAAATGTAAAAAATAAAATCGAGAATTTTCACACAA